AATATCGAAAAATCTTCAACTCGTGACAGGACAACGCTGATAATTAACTCATGTACTACGCACATTCATGAATTGATGTGTTGTTCAGTCACTCCTTTAATATTTTTCTATATTTGAATTCTTCGGTTAGTTAATCTGTAAATATTAGGCCAGGTTAACTTTAATACAAATTCTATATAATCCCACTTATTCTAGGATCATTGCACGGGACATTGTGCTTTCAGCTGTTGCTGTTAGTGTAAAAGTGTAAAGTCGATCAGTGCAAAACTCTTAAGTCCATTTGTAAGTAAAATACAGAAAAATGACCCGTCTGATAACAGTTGGACAACATGAATTGCGTTTTTGTGGCAGAATTATGTTGCGACTGTTAATTAGCTTGGGTTCTTAAACTTGTCATAAACATGTGGCAAGGTAAAATTGTAGATTTTGTAAAAAAAAAATTCTTTACTTGTACAAATTTTAGTGACAAAAATTATCAGGCATACTTTTTATGCCCCCGCCGTAGCGGAGGGGGCATTAAGTTTTACCCTTGTCCGTCTGTACGTATGTCCGTACGTCCCAAAGTTGGTTTCCGTTCTCTAATTTCATTTTGAAAATCGTATCGTAAATGGTGAAAATGACAAATGATGGCTAATAGATATAAGAAGTATGGTATGAGTGCCTGCCAATGAGACAACGCTCCATCCAAGTCAAAATTTATAAAAGTAAACCATTAAGTCACTGTTCATTAGTAAAATATGGGAAAATGGACCTATCAGATTATAATTCTTGATAATAAAATAGTTTTTGTTTGAGTTTCATCTATCCCAATGAACGTTTGACAAACATGTTGATGTCAAGCCCAGATCTATACACGAGTCAACAAATTTTGATCTGAAACGATCATTTTGATCTTATCATCATCTGAAAAGTCTGAACAATTAATCAGTAAATTTTCAGATCTATCCATTGCGGTAAATTCAGTTCTGTTCAGACAATTTGCTTGCCATCAATTAAGATGTGTTCAGTAGCTTTTCAGACAATTCAGTATGATGTTGGTGTTAACAGGTTCAAAATAAATAATAGTATACTGTTCGGTCTTTTAAGAGCTTTTCAGATCAAGATGATCATTTCAGATCAAAATAAGAAGATGTGGTATGATTGCCAGTGAAACTGTATCTAATTTCTAAATGTTAACTAATTTCTACATGTTTACTAGCTTTTACTGTATCTAAATGTTAATTAGCTTTAACTGTACCTAAATATTAACTCGTTTTTATTGTATTGTTGTTAACTGCAAAAACACTAGAGGCTCTAAAGAGCCTGTGTCGCTCACCTAGGTCTATGTACATCCTCGCCATAGGACACTCTCCAATATTGTAGATTAGAATAGAATTCATGACAAAAATCTCTTTTTTGTTGATCTTGTACTAATCATTTTTTCTGTTTATAGTTCCGCTCTATCTTCTTTAGTTCTTGCACAAAACACAAAAGAGGATAAAAGATAGTCATTTAAGGGCAATACTCCTATAAAGAGTCTACTAACCATTTCAGCAAAATTTGACTTGTTTGTAGATCTTGTGTAGCGATCAGTTTTGATATTTAAAGTTTTTATCTATCTTTAATAGTTGTGAAGATGATAGGCAAAAATGCGAAAAATAGATAAAATCGTCATTAAAGAGCAAGAACTCCAGAAACGAGTCGACTAATGACTTCGACAATGTTGACTTATTTGTAAATTTTGTCTTGCTGATAATTTTTTTCTATTAACAGTGTCTATCTATCTATTATAGGTTTCAAGATAATACGCAAAAACACCAAAAATTTGTATAAATCGTCACTAAAGTGCAATGACTCTAATAAGGAGTCGTCTGACGATTTCGGCCATGTTGCCTAATTTGTAGGTCTTGTCTTGCTGATTATATTTACTATTAAAAAATTCTCTCCATCTATTATCTATACTACAAAAATAACGAGGTCCAATTTGTTAGCCGGCATGACATGACGTAAAACGACGAATCAAATAATTCAACTTTATATATAACTAATATAGGACAATGGTGGTTAAAAATTACACCATTTCAGACCCTTTTGTTTTCCATATAATTAATATTAACAATATTTAACAAGTTCCGGGTCGAATCCGATACCGATACCAATAGTTTATGTCACACGAAGTTTCCGGTTGTTACTTGTTACCTTCTGTAAATCCCTCCTGTATAAGGAGAACCAGGAATTTTTCCAGTAGTTGTTTTATATCCACGTTACACCATAGTACAATACAACTATTAATTTTGGTTAATTAGTTAATAATTTTAAAAAACCAGGACGGGTTCAAACAGAAAGATTTAGAAAGCAGAGAAAATTGTGCACCTTACAATCAGCAAGACTTTATCAGATAACAATACGAATGCTAAAAATCCAGGCTTAAAAAAAAGGCATATATACTTTAATTCATTCACGCACCCGCGGGTGTGTTCTAGTTGTGTTTAGACAACTAGCAAAATTGACAACAAAATTGGTAACATTCGTCATTTAAGGACAATAACTCCTAGAAGAAGTCGTCTGACAGTTTTGACGTAAATGAACAGTAGGTAGAGCTTAACATTCTGAATATTTCTGCCCCAGTCTGATTTTGTCTATTCATACTTGTAGCAGTTTTTAAAATAAGGGACAAAACTTGCATTTTACCCCTATGTTCTATTTTTAGTTATGTCAGCCATCTTAGTTGGCAGGCGCGGTCATTGAACCGTTTTAAAACTAGATGCATAATTATGATTGAGGCCAAGTTTAGTTAAATTTAGATAGTTAGATAGTAGTTACAGAGGAGAAGAGTTTTGCAAAAGTTAGCGGACGACGACGACGACGGACGCCAAGTGATGAGAAAAGCTCACCTGGCCCTCTGGGCAAGGTGAGCTTAAAAAAAAATATACTAGTATATCAGTTTTTTGTCATGGAACAGAAGTTTCTTTAATTATAATATTAGTTCCAAATGGAAGAAATATTCTGGAATATTATTTCTACGGGAAGAACCTAACGGAATATTAAAAGAGTTATGTATTTCTAACTGCTATTTAATCACTACTTTGAATTCATTATTATTCGTGGAGAACTAATTTTCTTTGTTTTCATGGATATAGGTGCACCACAAATTAAAGTGTTTGATCAAAGTACAAACCTTTAGACTTGTTTGCCGAGTTATTCAAAACCACAAATTCAAGTATCCATAAAATCTCCTTTTTTGTCTCACCTGCTACGAAAGTCACAGTATGCGAGCCATAGGGATAACACTATTTGTATAACTTTTTATATTTCAGAAGGTGGAATAGCTGGATGCTTCATACTTTGTATGTAGAGACCTTATGTTACAAAAGTCCGTATCTCACATACTATAAGCAAAAGATCAACTATATTTGGTATATGGAATGAATGTAAGGTGTGCATATCCGACTGGCAGGTTTTATCTGACATTGACCTGTATTTCATAATTCATTGAACGTTTAGTTTTTGTTGGTTTGTCTATTTCTCAGATATTATAAGTAATGGGGCCACTTTGGTGTATGACTATGGAATGATTGCAAGGTGTACATATCTGGCTGGCAGGTTTCATATGACCTAGACCTTTTTGTCATGGTTCATTTTTCAATGTTAAGTTTTCATGGTTTAGTCAGTTTATCAGATACTTTAAGCAATAGGTCAACTGTATTCGGTATATTGAATGAATGTAAGGTATACATGTCTGTCTGGCAGGGTTCGTCTGACCTTGACTCTTTTTTGTCTCGCGTCGACGCGATAATTAGGTGTACTGTTTCCGGCGTCGGCGGCATGGTCAACAATTCATTTGTTTGTGATTAGGTCAAGTTTATGGGAACCACTAATGGTAGGTCAATGATATTTGGTACGCAGTTGTATTAGTATTGGCACATCTCATTTCCATGGAGATTATTGGCCCCGACCACTCAGTCATGTTCTATTGAATTTGAAACTTTTGCTTAGTTTACATGTATTTGTTTGTGATTAGGTCAGTTTTATGGGGACCATTAGTGGAAGGTCAGTGATATTTGGTATGCAGTTGTATAAGCAGTAGTATATCTCATTTCCACGGAGATCATTTTGCCTTGTCCCCTCAGTCATGGTCTATTGACTTTGAAATTTTTGCACAGCTTATAGGTCAGGTTAAGGTGAACTACTAGTGGTAGTCATTTCCATTAAGATTGGATCGCCTCCTCAGTCATGGTTCAATGACTTTGAATGTTTTGAATTATTTACATGTTAAAGTTTTTCATTAGATCAGTTTAAGATAAACATCTAATGTTAAATCGGTCGTATTGGCATGTGCAAGCCTCATTTCCATGGAGTTTATATGGCCCACCCCTCATGGTTCATTGACGTTTGAAACTGTTACATAGTTTACAAGTTAAAGCTTGTGCTTAGGTTAGTTTAAAGGAAACCACTTAATAAAAGTCAATGGTATTTGGTATGCAGTTTTATAAGCATTGGCATTTCACATTTCCATGGATGTTATTTGGCCCTGCAACTTCAGTCATGGTTCATTGACTTTGAATGAATTGCATAGTTCTCATGTTTATGTATTGCCATTTTTAATTTCAACATTTGCATTGTACCATCAAAATTACAAAACGCGAGACATATCTCTGTTTATTTAATGATTCATTGGTCAATGTTAAGTTTTCCTGGTTTTGTCAGTTTATCAGATACTTTAATCTATAGATCAACTGTATTGGGTGTATGGAATTATTGTAAGGTGTACATTTCTGTCTAGCAGGGTTCGTCTGACCCTGACCTCATTATTATTGTTTAATTTTATTTAAAAAAACATAAACAGGTTAGACATTTCAGTGTGTGCACTCGTCTTCAAATTCAACAAAGTTGGTATCAAAGAAATTATATGAATCCACAGTAGATTTAATAAAAAACCATATTAACTAAAAGCTGTATGATAAACTTTCATAATTATTGTTACCCTAAAAGTAATAACACTATATTCAATTGTATTTCAGGTTGGTATTCTACACTATAACAGATGACAAAAGAACGTAAAATTGATGTTGTTGGTACTCTTGTCCCTGATAGATAAATTTATAGATTGTAAAATAAAATGTTTGTAAATAAATTAAATGTATTATGAGAATTTGTTTCTTGATTATTATGTTGATTGTTTATGAAGTGTTTTAATACAAAATTCTCGAGTCCACATGTGTAATTGGGCCTGTGTTCCTGACAAGAATTTTGAAAACCAACAAGTCTTAACAAAAACAAAAAACAAATATTTTTTTTGTTTGTAAAAGAATCGATTTATTTTGTTGTGCATCAACCTTTAGGAAACCTACAATGCCACATTTCTCTTCTTTTCCATTTTTACACAATAGAACACATACCATATTCTTTTTATGCATCAAAGTAACAAAATCAAGATACGCAAAAAATCCAAATCGGGGTCCAAAATTAAACTGTGTTTGATTTCTACATAAATTGAATATATATAGGGTTCTTTGAAATGTTTAATCTAAACCTGTATTTCTTTTCATTATTAATAAGATAATACCACATTGAGGTCCAAAGGGTCCTAAATTAAACTTTTGTTTAATTTCATCAAAAATTGAATTCTTTGGTTCTTTGATATGCTGATTCTAACAATGTTTGAGTGTTAAATCATATCTAATTTTAGAGAACTTAGTCATCACTGGTTGTTGTTATTATATTATTGATTATAATTTGAAAAATAGCATCATATCTTATTTTAGAGAACTATTTAGCCAGTTTGAGTTATTTCCCTTTGCACAGAAAATATTATGGATAAAATTAATCTGTGTTTCATTTCAACATAAATTAAATATATATATAGGGTTCTTTCAAATGCTGAATCTAAACATGTATTTAAATATTAGATTTTTTGGCCCAGTTTTCAAGTTGGTCTAAATCAGGGTCCACAATTAAACTTTGTTTGATTCAACAAAAATTGAATTTATGGGGTTCTTTGAAATGCTGAATCTAACCATTTATTGAGAGATTTTGGATTGTGGGCTCATTTATCAAATTGGTCCATATTGAGGTCCAAAGGGTCCTAAATTAAATTTTTGTCTGATTTCATCAAAAATTGAATTCTTGGGGTTCTTTGATATGCTGATTCTAATATGTACTTAGATTTTGGATATTGGACCATAATAGGTAAATGTCCAATTTCAAATATTTCAGTTCTTTGACCACATTCATTTTGTGTCACAAACCTATGCTATGTCAAATATTCAATCACAATCCAAATTCAGAGCTGTTTTAAGCTTAAATGTAGTGTCCATACTTGCACAACTGTTCAGGGTTCGACCTCTGCAGGAAAATCCGGTTTGCCGTCACTCTGACAGCCTCTTGTTAAAACATGTTTGACAGAAAAACATGCTGCGACAAAGATCAAATTTGGCTTTTTGTCTCTATACTGGAAATTATTATATCCGCACAATGTATGAGGGAATCAATTATAGATTTTTGTTATGCGGAACCGATTTCCCCATGATGGGTCATGATATGTGCACATTTTATCAGTATCTGGTAACATAAGACGACGAGTGTATACGTAATTAGATATTTCGATTCCAAACATTTTCTTTACTGAAGTGTTCCTTTCACTGCGTTTCTTTTTAGTGCAGTATGTATGAAAAATATGATATGACTGATATCAAACAAGAGTCAAGCCAACACTGTAATCGTTGCTTTTTGTCTTCTAGTAGTATACAACGAAATTATCACACTATTGCCACTTAGGTCAACATATAAGGTCAAGTTTCCCCTCGAAGAGCTTGGTGTTGAATAAAACACACCCTATTTAATCGGCCAATGCACACCATGAGAATGATTAAGAGGAGTCGAATTAGTTTTTGCTATTGTAAGATAGTCATTACTTGTGGAAGACCAGTTTCCAATAAAAGTGACTGTCTAAAAATCGGGTATTTTTTTTTAATTTTGATAATGTAAACCAGCGTTTCGACTACTTTATAAATCTTTCAAATGACATTTGTAGTTCTTTTCATGGTTGAGTTTTCCTTGTTTGTCCTACTGCTTTAAAGACTTTTTACAACTTTTACAAAGTTTAGTAAAAAATCAAAGGTATTAGTGTCAAGGAATATTGACCCCCCTTTTCATTCATCAGGTGTCGTTAATTGATCAATAATGCAGTTATGGTTATGAAACAATTTTGATTTATTATCAGTCAATAAAATTTAAGGTAGAAAACTTTTTATTTAAATTAGAAAAATTAAAAGAGGTGCTGTCATTGAAGATGAATGAAACATTGTCAATTTTGCGAGAGTATAAAGGGAAAGACCGAAGTATTATAGTTAAAATAGCGTCTGGTATCAATGAATTCACTAAGTTTGAGCACCACAAGGAATGTTAAGATCTAAGATTAAAGTTTGATGTATCAAGTAGAATAGTTTTCACTAGACTAAAAAGTTTAAAAGAGTAGATAAAAACTGAATTGCCAACGGCAGTAGTTGGATTTATTACCGTTCCTACGCTGTCTTTTGTTAATTACAGAGATTTCCTAAGAAAGAAATAAACCAAGAAGTTATAAAAGTGATGGAATGGATAAACCTAGTGCACCAGAAAAGGATTAACAGGCAGATCAGGCCAAATTAGACAAATAACTCATATTGCTTAATGATGACATAAAACTCGAAAATTCAAGGAAACAAGCTGGACTTTTAAAGGGGTGCTACAACATATCTTGGCATAACTCTATATCAAAACTATGTAATAAAAAACGATGATCTGGTTCAAGAAAGGTGGTGCGTAATAATTTTTCTGATCTGCATGACGGCTTCCACCCTAAAAAGAGTTTGAAGAGACGATAGCATAAACAACTCTTGAAGTGTGTGACATCCGAATTGGATTTAATTCGACAATACAATTTTAAAACAACAAAAGTTACGGTAACATAGTAGTTTTTGTACCATGTATGCAATATTAAGAACAGTCATTATGGCAGATGCATTTAGAGGTGAAATAGAGGAAGATTGGCAAGACTGGTTGGATAATTTTAAAGCATGCGCAGAGATAAACGGATGGAATGACGATTTGAAATTTATAATTTATGGGGGTGAGACTTAAGGACATTGCATATAAGGTATATCATGACACTGATGCAGTAGTAATAATAGACTAGACCAACTTGTGCGCCACCTTAGAAAAGAGGTTTAGAACTGTCAAAGAACCCCAGTTCTATAAAACCAAATTTTACGCAACAAAACAACTGCAAGGTGACACATTTCTTGACCTTGGTAACAAGATAAGGACATTGGCCCGAAAAACCTACCCTATCATTTAGGCGAGATTACGGGATGAATTAACACGTGATCAATTTGTCCGTGCTTTAACAAATGTGGACATGACTCTCAAGCTTAGACATAGTATGCCAGCGACATTGGACGATGCAATTATAATGGCTATTGACTGGCAATCAGTGGAATTAGATGTTCGAAAAGACAAATCAAACACTTCAAACGAGCCGGCGAAGGCAGACAGCTTATCAGCAGGAGCATGTAGTGCTACAACACAGGAAACTACGTTAAAGACAATGATAAATGAAGTATTGACAATGATGAAAGAGGATCGAGAAGAATCAAGGATACGAGGACAATATATTGCAGGAAAAGGAAGAGGTCGAGGTCGCAATGATAATGACTATAAATGCTATATTTGTGGGAGTGATCAACATTTGAAGAGAAATTGTCCCAAAAATAAGGGATGTTGGAACTGTGGACTTCCAGGCCACATGAAAAATGACTGTCCTTCTTTTAAACTGTCTCAACCGGGAAACCCGAAGTCAAAGTAAAATGTTGGTAGCACCCTGCAAATCAACAATGGTTTCGGCCAACAGTGAAATAATTGATTTACATGGAGTTATTGATGTAAATATTTCGATAAAAGGTGTCCAATGTAAGCAAACAGTAGTAATTGCAAAAGACTTAGCTTATCAGTGTTTACTGGGAACAGACTTTATGAAAAAGCATAATGCAAAAATAGATTTTGACAAAATGACTATTTCAGTTGATAATAATGAGTGTGATGTGAATTACTCGACCGGAAGTGCTGCTGTTTGTAGAGTAAATCTGCAGCAAACCGTGTGTATTCCTTCGGGTAATGAGATGCTACTTGTAGGAAAGGTAAATAAAAAAGAAAGAGGGTTTCAAATGGCAGGAACATTCTTATTTGAACCGAAACGGAGATTCGAAAATCACGACAAAGTGTTTGCAGCTTACGTCTTAACTGAAGGGAAGGATTTATGCATCATTAGAGTTATGAATGTCTCGACAGAGGATGTGACAATGTATAAAAACACGACAGTTGGATACCTTTTGCCTGTGAAGGAACTTACGTGTAAGACCTCATTGGAGCAGCAGATAGCAGCTCCTGATGGGCTTAAGATGTCGAATTGCAGTATGCTGGAGCAGCAGTTTGCAGATCCTGGCGCTGAATTCAACAGGAAAACACCAAACAAAATGATAGATAAGACCCTGGAGCAACAGTTTGCAGCTCCTGGTACATCATTCAACATAGATTCCAACCTACAAAGGGAAGAAAAGGAAGTACTAAAAACATTATTGCTCGAGTATAATGACATTTTCTCGAAAGACCCGTCAGATATGGGTCGAACAGACTTGGTAAGACATGGTATTAACACTGGTAATGAATCTGCTATAAAACAAAACCAAAGGAGAATCCCACTCCACATGAAGCAGGAAGTTAAAGCACTAATTAATGATATGTTGGAACGTGAGGTGATAAGACCATCTAGTAGACCATGGTCTTCGCCCATTGTATTAGTGAGGAAGAAGGACAATAGCACTCGTTTTTGTGTGGATTTTCGGAAGGTAAATGAAATTACGAAAAAAAGATGCATACCCGATACCACATATCGACGATAATTTGATACGCTATCTGGTTCAAGATTCTTTTCATGTGTTGATATGACCAATGGATATTGGCAAGTTGAAGTAGAAAAGGACGACAAGGAGAAAACGGCATTCTCAACACCGTACGGACTGTACGAATTTAACGTTATGCCGTTTGGGCTGACGGGGGCACCAGGTCTGTTTCAGCGATTAATGGAAAATGTTCTTAAAAGGCCTTCAGTTTGAA